TCTTTTAACACAGAATCTCTGAATCACTGAGGTTGGCAAGATGTCTGGATCCATTTGGTCCCACCCCTGCACCATCCAGAGGAAGGTGCTCAGGCTATGTCCAGGCAGCTTCTGAAGATCTCCGAGGAGGAGATTCCACTACCTGTGCCAGTGCTCTGTCACCTGAAAGACTAGGAAAAAAGGAAAAATAAAGGAAAAATAAAAAAGCAGATTTAAATGTTGAAATTCAGAGCATGTAAGTTTTCTGAAGATGAACAACAATTTTCATATATCCAAATACATCAGGGGACCTATCCATAAAGGAAATGTCATGTACACTCTTCAAAGGACTTGTAAGACTTACAAAAGATGAAGAGGTATAACTGCCGTGTAACTATCTATGATCAGAGATGTAAGGAATTATATACCTGTATGAGAATGAGTAATGCATAGGAAATGCTTAGCAGTCTAGGCCAATTTTCACTGTGTGCCAAAGCACGAATTATATCTCCTCTATAAGAGGTTCTAGGTGGAAACTATTGACAGCAGTAATGGCACTTTAAACTCAATATTTTTATCAGCATGAAGGGTGAACTGATGGGTGCAAGCCAATATCTAATGGTGTCATCAGATTCTAACACACTTTATTTGGTTGGCTAGCTACTACTTGGTTGTGAGTTAGTAATTTACCTAAGAAAAAAAAGAAAAAAAAATCTAAGTGTAAGCATTTCCTCCTCCTACAGGAATTACAATAAACTGAAGCACTCTTTTGAAGAGAACATACCATAAAGGGTTTGCAGACCCTTATGATAGGAACAATGTGCTTTTCTCATACATCTCAAATAGGTCTTCAATTGTTTGTTATTCCTTTGTTAGCAGAGGTGATAAAATTTGCACTAGCTATTTGCCTAAACGTATAATTCCACAGAAGAGTTTTGTTCATGACAGTCTACATTTACACACTTCGTTTGTTCAGTACTATGAAAGAACTACATGAAACAAGCAGCTATAGAATTTATTACACTCTCCAGGTGATTAAAGTCAATCAGCTTTTGGCCTTGTGCCCTCACATATATGGTTGTATTTGGAAAGATGCATCTCAATGCTGTCATTAGATAACATTGGCTGATGATCAAACTATATGATTTCAGTTTGATTTTTATGTCTTAAGACACCATTATTTATTTTCAGGTGGAAAGATATTTATTTCTTTTTTTCCTACTAGCAGGAAGAGCATATCTGTTTAGTTCCTGATCAATGTGCAAAAGTTTGTTGCTGTTTGATCACTTTACATCAGAGAGCATGGTGCATATTTAAGGCCATGTAGCAGCTGTCAGTGTACAGAAATTTTAGATAAGCATTGTTGAAAAGCATAACATACTAGATGCATTTTTTTTTGCAATTATTCTATCCTTTCTCTTTCATAATGCAACACTATTATCAGATGACTAAGTATGTTCATAAGATGCGCTTAATTAAGCATCACTGTTGAAAGAATGATTATAGGAAATCTCTCTCTCCTGCTCTTCTTACTGACCATGCCAATATGTGACTAAAAATACAATCTGATTTAACATTATTAAAATGTAGATGATTGTATACTTAGTATTTTGCTGTCTTCTACGGTGCTTCATTACTGCTATATGATTTACTAAGAAGCTTAAGTAAGAAGCTTAAAAAGTGTATGTGTATAATCTACCACAAAAAGCCTTCCAATAAACAAAACATTTTTGTCATAGAATGTATTTTGTAGGGAAACAGCCACGGAGTGGAAAGTTAAAAACCAAATAAAATAAATTTTATTCAATTTTAAATTGACATCCTCACATTTGCCGATGCCATTTAATAAACTGTTGTTGCCCTCTAGCGTTCAAACACAGCCCACGTTCCCCTACAGAATGTTCCCGGCAAGTCACCTACTAATCACATTTGCTCTAAGAAGGCAAATGAATGAGAAAATATATATCCCTATGTGTGCAATGTTAAGAATCATAGAATCATAGAATCACTCAGGTTGGAAAAGACCTTAAAGATCATCAAGTCCAACCACAACCTAACCATACTACCTTAACTCTAACAACTCTCTGCTAAATCAAGTCCCTGAGAAGCTGTTGATGCTCTATCCTTGGAACTGCTCAAGGTCTGTCTGGCTGGAGCTTTGACCAACCTAGTGTAGCACAAACTGTCCCAGCCCATGGCAGAGAGGTTGGAACCAGGTGATCTCTAAGGGTCCTTCCAACTCAAACGATTCTGATTCTATACTTATTATGTATTTATGTATTAACATTTATAGTTATTAAAAGACCACTCAGCTCAGCTTTCTTACCGAGTTAATCATGATACACATGCAACTCGCTAGTTTACTTCTGCCACTCACAGTGTATGATATTAAGTTGGCTGTTTTGGTTGGAAGGCAATGTTACCAGTGATATTAGCCAAATACATGCCCTGTGCTCTGAATGACCCTACAATTTGTCTGCCCTCCTTCTCTTAAATCTGTGTCCACTGCACTGTACTGCCTGAATTACTATCAGCCATCTCTAACTTGAGCAAATTTTTTATTATGCTAGAAATACACAGTGAAGATTCAGGAACTCTTCTCAATACCATTGTAATAAGTTGCAATGATGGCATAGGCAATGTAGAAGGCTTCTCACTAAGCTATAAATCTTTAGATAAAACTATAACCTCAGATTCAGGTCTACATTTTACATTTACTGGACCTAGTATTTGCAATTTCCTTAACTTGCTTCCCAGAAATATTTTCCATCCTTATCATTCCTTGACCACAAACCTTTGAAAACAGCTGATTAAAAAAAAAATAAAAAAGAAGCAAAGGCTAAACGAAGTGCAGTCAACAGACCAGCTAATCAACTTGAGATACTTCTGCAAACTTATTTAAGATGTTATCCAGGGTGTTTTTTATGTAAGCATTGTCAGATAGAAGTAATGTAGAAAAAATAAATGGCTTTGTATCTATAAAGTAACTTGCAGCCTCCATATGGCAAGAATTCAACTTCTTGACATAAGGAAAACTGACTTGTCTTTGATCATTGAATAATACAATTTTCAGAGAATTTTCTGCATAAAGTAATTGTTAGAGCTCCCCGAAAACTTGCCTTAAGGCCATTTTTGAATCATGACTGCTTCCCACTGCAATAAACTTGACAGATCTAAGAACCTCTTGGACTCACTTGGTAAAGTGAGTTACGTTTCATAATTTGTAACAAAATTTGTTTCTCTTCATAAGGCACCTTTCCTTCTCTATCTTGGTGTTTGTAGTTGTTTATGCTGCCTCCCACAGATAATATCTAGGGTTTCATTCTGAAAACAGATTAAGACTGATGATGGTGGAAAAAAGTGAGTTTGAACTGGAGGTTCAAACAGTGGATGCTTACAGGCACTCTCACTTGCCTCTTATTCCAGAGGCAGGGAAACATACAGAGCAGCCGTGCTTGTTACCAGTCATACGAACATGAGCCCAGAAGTAAAAAAGATGTGTTTTGAGAGCATGTAGAGTTCTACCCAGAGTTCTAGAGTTCTGATTAATGTTTGTAAAGATCTAAAGGGAGTTGGCAGGCAAATGGATGAGGCCAGGATCTTCTCAGTGATGTGTAGTGGTAGGACAAGGAGAAATGGCCTGAAACTTGTACATAGGAAGTACCATACAGAACTTCTTTTCAGTAAAGGTGATGGAGCATTGGAATAGGTTGCCCAGAGGTTGTGGACTCTCCCTCTCTGGAGATATTCAAGACACATGTGGATGCCTACCTGTGTGTTCTCCTGTAGGGAACCTGTTTTAGCAGGAGGATTGGACTCAATGAGGTCCTGCAATTCTGTGATTCTGTGCGTGCTTCTATCATCTCTAGCCCTGTTGCAAGCAGTGCTTTTAAGAGCCACTAGACTGGTGAGGGAAATAAAAGAATGCTAGAAACAGAAAGATAATGCAAAGTTGTTTGAAGATAATGCTTCTCTGACTGCAGGAAATATCACTGAGTTTGGGACTCTTGCACAACACAACCATCAATGTTACTTAATACTTTCTTAATTCCCCTCAATCTGTCTAGATATTCAGGAACTGGAAAACATTTTTTTCTGTGTCCTCTGCTGATAATACAGCTGTTGTCTTTGCTCAGTTCCTTTACAAGTTTCCATCTGCTCTACAATTAATTGTTAAGTTTCAGCTGTTATAGGTTTAAGTATATTAGAACAGATTCTCCGGTATACACCAAGTCGCTTGGTCGTGCTATTTGTCATGAAAAAAAAAAAAATCCAGCTTTGTTTAACTAAATACGATAAAAACTATTTGACATATCCTGCAAAAATCCTGCTAGACAGTGCTGTTCTCTTCAGAAAAGGCGAAATAAAATTTGCAGCAGGTGGCTTTAAGTATAGCTTATGATATAGGCACATGAAAGCATTTAAGATAAGTATCAATGAACAGAATGTAGCTAAGGAAAGTTAAGCCAAGCATGTTATAACAGTTTACTCCTTGTACCTAAAACTATTTGGATGCTATATACTACTACCCAATACTCACTTAAGGCTCAGATAGAGTATACAGGATGCCATATACACTTACATAATGTCAGACTTGTGTAATACTGATGTATTCAGAGGCAAAAAGTATTGAAAGTGCTCATGTGCTGCACAGGTACTTAATTAATTAGGTCAAATTCTATTCTATTCTATTCTTTTCAGGCTGCAGGGTGACCTCATTGCAGCATTACCTAAAGGGAGCCTACAGAGGAGAGGGGAATCAATTCTTTGAAAGGGTAGATAACAGCAGGACGAGAGGAAATGGTTTTAAGTTGAGGGAGGGGAGATCTAGGTTTGATGTCAGGGGGAAATTCTTTACAGAGAGAGTGGTGAGGTGCTGGAACAGGCTGCCCAGAGAGGTTGTGGATGCCCCGTCCCTGGAGGTGTTCAAGGCCAGATTGGATGGGGCCTGGGCAGCCTGGTCTAGTATTAAATGAGGAGGTTGGTGTCCCTGCATGTGGCAGGGGGGTTGGAGTTTTGTGATCCTTGAGGTCCCTTCCAACCCTGGCCATTCTATGATTCTGTGATTCTGTGATTCTATTCTGCTAATCTAGTCACAGAACATACTCTTGAAATTATTTTTCTCCTTAAAGAGAACTAAGAGAACTTCTTTGCTTAGCTTGAGTGTTTGTATTTAGGATTTGATACTAAATCAAATGATAGGCATTATAATTCAGTCTGGAAATAGCAGTTCTCTTCCCCACCAAAACTATGTGGCCACTGGTGACCAAAAAAGGAATGCATCCTCTTCTGAGATTTCATATCCACTCTTCACTTTCAGAGTAGTTCTCACAAAGATGATAAATGCTCCTAACAATCTATTCCCTATGCCCCATCATACATCAGCATACATTCCATTGATCAAGTAATCCAACCTGGTATATTGTCTCTTCTGAAGAGATTCATGCATTTTCTTCCCTGTGAGCACAATAACTAACAGCAAGAATATCACCCCAAAAAGTAAAGCCGCTACAAGTCTGCTTTTGTCTTCTAGCTGAACAAAGCCTTTTCTTCTCTGAACATTCTCTGATAGGTTGTCTTCTGAATCAGATGGGTCATAATCCTGATGGTTGTTTCGCGAAGCCACGGGGAAAGCACTAGTAGAGAGAGCAAAACTTGAAAAAGAGACAAGGGTAACATGACTGGTAAAACTGGCAGAGACAGCTGTTGGCTCAGGAGGGATGGATGAAGTTCTGAGCCCTGCTGAGCTGGTGGCTGTTATGGGATTTGAGGTCACCCACTTGGCTGTAGAAGTAGAAGCAGAAGTTGTGGGACTGGAAAGAAAAACATGAGTAGCAGCAATCTTGGCAGTAGGGATACCAGGTTCAGCTCTAGCAATTGCAGTAAGCATAAAGGTGGTTGTTCTACTGACGGTACCAGGTTTGGCACCACCTGGAAACATAGAAGTTGTGTGAGATTTCAGTCTGACAGTACTTGTAGGCAGAGGAGTAACAGTAGTACTGCTGGGACTGGGAGCATTAGACTCAGTGGTGGGGAACAAAGCAGAAGGATTTCCAATTTGAAGAGTAGATGATATATTTGGTGGTGGATTAATTACTTTCTGCCTTGGCAAGGGGTCTAAGCTCTTGGGATTGTCTGCCCTTTGTAACTCAGGGAAAACTGTATGAAATTCAGTGTTGTCTACATGTTTGGCCATATGGTTCAGGAGTTCAGATGCTTGATGAAAAACAGATTGTTGCAAAGCAGTGGTATGATTCTGATGGCTAGCCTGACTTTGAGAAATAAAAGCTCCAGCATCTGAAGGTACAGAGTGTTCATTTGAATTGAAGTCCTCATTTTTGAAGGATGCATCCTCCAGGGCACGGGTGTCTGTAAAGAGAAAGGAAGTATCAGTATTTAATTGCTGAATCTATTTTTAATTACCATGGGTTTACTCTAATTATTTATATTTTAAAGGAATAGCAATATCAGAGGGCTTCAAAAAGTACTGAATAAACAAACGGAAGTATCAAGATATTTTATTTAAAATATGTAGTGATTTTTATGTTGTCTGTGTCATAAGACCTATTAATCTCAAGCCAGAACACATTAGACCCCGACTGCAGCTCCTTAAGAGAATTTACCTGTGCAAAGCAATCATTCCTGTATGTTTTGTACTCATATGGCATGCATATGACTATTCAGAGGGGGAAAGTAGAATATGCCCACTGCCTTTAAACTATTCCAGTCTCTGTCAAATTAAGAAGATACAATCAACCTCGCTTCTGTCAGATGTACATATTTCTATAAATCCAAAACCAAACATCCCATGACTGCTTAATACAATTCACTTCACATATAAGAACTGCCTTATGATAACAGATGGTAATAGTATCCCCACTTGAGCAGAGGGAAACTAAGTGACTTTTCCAGAATCACTTAAAAAAACAAGGGCAGTTTAGACATTTTGATGACAAGTCTGTTGAGGTCCAAGGCCTCCTGGCGTTAGCATCTGCAAGTACTCTACTCTGCTTAGATTTCATATGACTGCAACCTTCTGATATTTTACTACGCAGATGAGGTGTCCTTGGAGCTTCTATTTACAGAGGAAGGAAGAAGGAGTTCCTAATTTTTGTGAGAGTTTTCTTTCTCAACTGTAAGAGTTGTTGGTATTCCTACAAACGTATCATACAGAGCAGGAGACCAGGCCTGCTGAGTTTGCAAAATACATTTCTGATCAAAGTATTTAGCCAAAGAATGTAAGATTGTATGTTTCCACGTTGCCAACACGTTAAATGAATATTGTCACTAGAAAGAATTCAGAGGTTTTAATGTCTTTCTGAGAGTGCAAACAACTATCGCATTAATACTCGAAGTGTGTGGTAACGACAATTAACTCCGTTTTTTTCAGTATCATGGTAAAATGTAATTTTCAATATAGAGCCAGCTTTAGTCCAAGAGTTTACCAGTCCAATCTATCCCAGCAGATGGAGAGTTACAACTCTACCACTTACTGGTAAAGAATGAGTAGTCAAATAATCTTTTCTTGTCATCAGATTTATCAAATGTCCATCCTTCCACCTCCCCCAAGACAGTACACATCCTGATTTGTAGGAAAGCCCTGAACTCCAACTGTCATGCTAGAAGACGCTACTTCAGGAGTCTCTGGCATATCTGAAGCAGTTGCACTTTATATTCTCCAAAAGCTGACACCTACTGCTTGCAAACCAAGTGGGGGAATGTCAGTTAAAGGAATTCAGAAGGAAGAAAACAGCTTTCTGTGACAGAAATGCCATACAAGAGATAATTCTAGCAGTTATCTGATTCTGCACAGATATTAGAGAGACATTTTTGGTGAGCATTAGTTCTTGGAAAAACTGGCTAAGTGGCACAAGCTGCATTCTCACTGTTAGCACTCAGTAGCCACCCAAAACATTAAAGATGGAATGTGCTCTCATTTCTCTTCTACAGAAACAAAAAGGTTTGTTAACTGCACTGGAGTTTAAAGAAATAATAAAAAGTCATTGACGTTTTCATTTTCACTTCTTTCTCAAGTAGAAACTCATATCTAAAGAAATGAAATTATTTCAGGCTTATTATACATGCAAAGAAATCTAACTGGCTGCTGTCAGAAGATATGTTTGCAAGCCCTAAATTCTTCCGGAAACTGAAGTGAAAAACAAACAAAAAAGGGCAATGGTTTAAATAAGAGGACAGCAACTTAACTTGAACTATAGACACCAATTTTTATCCTAACCTTCCAGTCAGGCACTAGTTTGTTAGCAAAGTAAAGGAATAGGCTGACAAATAACAGTGTTCAGCCACTACATAATCAGAAGCTGTATGGCCAAAGACAGCCAAACTTTCAGCTGCAGTCTGCAGTTCTGAACACATTTCCACACCAGAGAGGAAATGGCCTGTCACAACCACTGAGTCACCAACAAGTTTTTCCCTGTTCCCAGTGCACTCCGATAGCCTTCTCCATGCATTCAAATAAATAATTGATGCAGTGTGACAACCACAAAGCATTTGCAGCATGCTATGTCATCTTCAGCTCACTCACCTCAGCTACAGCTAGGAAAATGGGCAGTATTCATGCAGGGTTCAAAGGACAAAATATGGAGTGATATGACAGTGATGAGTCCTGCACATGAGTTAAGTATCTGCTTCCCTGCAGCACTCAGATTAATTAACATAACTGCCTGCGTTTACTAACACTACTTTATTTTCAGCTTTAAATACTAACTGTATTCTTAGTCTCCATTTTAGACTATATGCTCCCAAACACAACTGCCCATAACTAGGTACAGCTGTGGCACTAGAACAGATACACTTGTTGGCAAGAAAGAATAAGGGCATTACAGAAGACAACATTTAAAAAGAAATTAAAAAATCAAAGTGGTCCTATTGATATCTCAAATCCAATAAACTGCATTAGAAACCAAACCTCAAATTGTCAACCTTAAAAAACAAATAAACACCTCCTGAGCATACATGGATTGTATTCATCAGTTCTGCATGGCTATCTCAGTGCAGTGGAAAAAGCAAACTCCACAGAAGTACAGCAGAAAACCAGGCATTATTTCTTTTTCAGCAATAGCTATTTGAGACACCAATCAGGAAATGCTTCACTTCTCAAGACAGAGGTTGTTTCCAGTAGTTAACGAGGTACAAGAATAATTTAAAATCAAACAAACAAAAAACAAACCAAAACCAACCAACCAACAACATAAACGATTTTGTTACTAACACAATTTCAATATTTCAGTGTACTTCATTAGCAACAGAATATTTTTATCCTTTTAGTTTAGTATGTAGAACATAGTTTGGTTCTATGTAATCACATGAAGATTCTCGTATATTAAACAAGCAAACAAACAAACAAACACACAAAGCTTCAAATGTTTGTCAGTACCAACACCACCAGGTGCTACCTTTGAAAGCTTACCAGGAACCTAAGGTAAATAAGCTAACATGATCTTTATGATTAGCATTAACTGAGCATTACACTATCTGCAGGACAAAAGCACAAGCACAATTAAGTCTTCCTTCTTTCTTTGCATTCTTTATGTTCAAACAGGTCTGGTACAAGTCAACGCCAGTCAGCAAGTAAGACTTGCTATTAAAAATACTACAGCACATGACAGGCAGTGAGAAATTTGTGACTGCAAAGCCCAAATGCCATAAAGCTTTGAGATTAGTCAGTCTGCATCTGTGCCTCAGGTTCCATAACTGAAAACAGAAAATAATGATTACTATCATCAATTACTCACTAACATCCCAGTGGTGCTCTGAGGCTTGCCTAACATCTGTGTATATATGGTATTCATCAGAATTGCATGAATCCTTTGAATGCACAGATGGCTACAAGGGAATCATATTTCTATTGCTTTCAACAATGCCCTTATATGTTATGTACTAGAAATTTCCCTCGGACAGAATACATCGAGATGGATAAAGCTTCTTTTTTTGTTTTAAACAAAGGAAAACTATGAGGAGTTCAGAATTTTATGTGAAGGAATTTCATAATGGTTAGGCCTGTGTAGATGTACACCACACACTTGCCTACCCACCTCCCACAAAGCAAAAGAACAGTATTTTCAAATTAGAGCACTTGGTTTAAAACGTTTTACTAAAGATGCAACTCCCAAGCATTACCTAGTCATTGCTGAAAAGTCATGGGGGATTGTGCAGTGTGGGGATTTGTGGCTTTTACTACTACACATACTTACCTTGAGGTATCTTGTAGCTCACAAGCCCCATTGCAGGTTTCATAGGACAAGCCTCTGTGCTAGGGCAATAAAACAGGTAGCAGTTTGGTTGTGTGCTTGTCCTTTGAGCATCAAAAATCACAAAGTTACATTTCTTGTCTCCTGCAAAAGAACATATACACATTTCAGTAACAAGAACTTGTATAGCATCTTGATAATAAATTCTGGTTTGCTAAAAATTAAAAATTCTGGTTTCCCTTCCACGAGTAAGAAAAAACTACCTACATCTAGCATTCCTGTGGGAAAAACAACACAGGACTGCAAAAGAATGGCTGAAGGCCAGCATATGAAAGGTTACACCTTCCTCTTCCTGTACAGATGAATATGTGGAAATAATGAGTCTAATCCCTCATTCTCCCCTCACCCATAGCACGTTAGCAGCACTTTATATAATGGTTTTTTTTGCTTATGAATCCTGATAAATCTGAAAATTTCCTCAATGTATCTGTGGATATGCACTTTTTCCATCAGTTACGGGTAACTTTAATAAACCCTCATTTCTGCTTGCTGCTGTATCTCCTACCACTCTAAAAGCCTGACAAAAAATCAGTTCCAGGGCAATGAAAGCATTTTCGTTTCTGGCTAAAACCAGTGTTACTTTGGAGTGTGTCTGCTGAAGCGATGCATCCAGGTCCGAGTGGCTTTAATACTCAAAGCTACCTCCACTTTATCACACTTACTTTCTGGAACACACTGATATCGACACTCCGGCACCACATTAGGCCGGGACAGGCAGCAGCCTCACGCCACAACTACTGGCAGTGTAAATGGCACAGAAATGAACATTTCGGTCTTGATCACAGCAGAGTCCCTCGTCCCTCATCCCCTCCCGGTGGGTCCCTCGTCCCTTTCCTATGCGAACCTGGGCAATTCCGTAAGTAATTTCCTCAGTGCTCATAAGCAGTAACAGAAAAGGCCAGAGAGAATTCTGTTACCTGACAGCTTTTTTCCCAAGCAGCAGGCATGTATGCAAGCCTCTGGCGTTGAAACGTGCACTGGTTCCGCACCTCGGATACCCATGGGGAGAGACAAGCTGATATCGATGATGGCGTTGTCCATTCGCTGCGCGGCACAGCCCTGGCCCAGGCTCGGCGCAGGCATCGCGCAGCTGACGGCCAGCAGGCAGAGCGGGAGACCGCGCACAGCCATGGCCGCCCGCCCGCTCTTGGGCCGGCGGCTGCCGCGCGTCCGGGACAAGGGGCGGGGCGGCCCGGCACCGCCGTGGGATCGCGGCTCTCGCTGGCCGAAGGGTCGGGTGTCGGTGGGTTTTTACTCAAAGCCACGCTCAGAGCCGTCTTTGAGGCTGTAACAAAAGCAATTAATATGCATATCCTGGTCTAAATGTATTCGCGCATACTTCAGTGCTTGTGTAAGACTGTCTTGGCTACCTGGGTAATCCAGTGCAAACCATAGCAAAGATAGGCGGCGTTTGCTGAATGGGAGTCGTGCAGCAGGGGCTGTGTGCTGGCAGTGTTGGCTGACAAGTGCGGCGTTCCTTCCTGAACAGTCTGATTGCTGGTGCTTGCTTAACTCATGCTTGTACTTTGAAAATTTTCGGTTCCTCTTTTTTCTTTTTTTTCCCTTCTTTTTTTCCCTCTTCCCCTCCCCTGGCCCCTCACCTCCCTCAGGGCAGTGTTTAGGCATAGAAGTGGCCCAGAGAGTAATGAATGCAAGGAAGCAACAAAAGGACTGCGCCACATATTCCTTCTTTTTCAGATATCTCATCCCGCATCATACCTGCAGTAGCATTGCTATGATTGTAAATAAAATGTTTGTTCCTCTTAAGGCAGTCCATTACATGAACAGTTACCAGAGGGCAGGTTATTTCACACAGTAATTGTAAAACAAAATGGTAACAGTCTGATTGTTTCTCTTTTGGTCACCTACTCTCTGCTTTAATACAATAAACTTAAACCTCTGGGCCACAGGTTGAACATCTGTAAAATTCAGTTAGGATTTTTTGCTTCTCCAAGGCGTGCTTGAGATCCGCGCTTGGAGAAGGCGTGCTGGCAGCAGCAGCACATCCTGCTTCATGCTGACCTGCCGCTTGCTGTGCTGTGCCAAAAATCAAGGCCCATGTTCAGAGAATGGTCAGCAATTTTATTCTTCACACTCGTTCAGCTGGGAGTTGTTTATAGGGGCATACACGTTAAATGTGACACTACTACTACCTACGTATTTAAAACATCATTCAGTTTCAAGTAATCTACTCCTGTCAAACACGGAATATATAAAGCAATAAAGGACAAACAAAAGCGATAAGAAACTATATATTTGCCAAGGCGCTTATGTTGTATGGATTATGGTCAGATAAACATCAGATTTGTATGTTACTGTAATTACATACAACTGCATACTGTGTAGTTTCAGGTACACTGACCTAGCTGTCAGTTGCAGGACATGCAGAGGATTTGTGTTATGTACACATTAGAGGCAAAATAATTAATTTGCCTAACAACTACATTCAAATACAACTTTACTGTAATAATGTTTTCAATAATAGAACTCTATATAGCAGAAACACACATTGGTTGATAGGTAAGCTAAATCTCAGAATCGTGGACCATAAATATTTTCCAAGGGCAGTATGATACTACATATTCACACATCTACAACAATAAACAAAAACACATCACAGAGGAGCTGCAAAGTGTACTTGACAAAACATTCAGAAGTTTGTAATGTAAAAGTGGGAATGAAGCTAACTGCAGCTAAATACGCTGCATTAAATTTAGCTAATTTGTCTGAGAGTGATGGATAACTTTGCGTGCCTTTATGACAAGCACTGGTTGGGTTGCAGCTCTGCAGACATTACATGCTGCCTTTGAATACTGCCACTGAAGCTACTCATGGGTGACTTTAATACTGTGTGTGAATAGTGCAGATTCAGAACTCAGCTTTCTAAACAGGACTGTGCCAACAGCAGTTTGTTCTCCTTCCTAGTAATCACATTTATTTGAAAAATATTTAGTTGTTATTTTGGCAGGAATTAAGCAGTTGTTACAGCTAAAAGATGTGTCGTTGGGTTACAGCTGGTGAGACATAGCCTGCAGCTGCCAGAAGAGGTGCTGGAAGGAGCTTTTTCCCTGCAGCCCACATCTCGGTAACAGATGTGAAGTGCAGTTCTCGCAAGACAGAAGGGGGGTTATTTTTGTGTTAAATTAAATCTTGGCAAGAATTAGTAAAGGCAGCCAGGAGAGGTAATGCTGAATGCGGTTGAGGTTAAGACTTGCACAGATGTTGTGCATGGTTTATGAGTGGAGAGCAGACTTGTCTAGAAGTTAGCATGTGCCAGAACTTATTTGTGGGCAATTCTTCTGTCAGAGGTAAGTATGCGGCTTCTTTGCTGATCTGATTGTAAGACATGAACGTAACAAGTCAGAAGTGTCAAAGTAGGTTTCCTTCTCCCTTTGACTTGCTTTTTTGCTTAAGTTAAATCATCTGAGAACTTTCAGTCTGGGACACCATTTGCTCACCCCCGTCCATGACGCACACAGTTGGTGATGGCTGCTCCTTGCACGCACCTAGCATCAACAAACATGCTTTAGCTTTCAAAAGATGGGGAAAAAAAGGCATAGGAGAGCAGTATGACCCTGCTGAGCACGTGCTGTTGGGTGGTTTGAGACAGCACACTTTTGCAGCCTTACCTTTGATTGCCATAAACATCACTGCTGATAATTAAAAATCTAGATTAACACTATCTCCCCCAACCCCTGACTCTTAGAGAGGCCAGACAGGCCAGGCAGCAGCCAAGAGACGCGAGCCTGAGGGAAACAGAGGGCGCTGTGAGCCCCGCTCCCCACCAGTAAATCCGCCCTGGGGCCGAGCACCAGACTCCGCCCCGCCGCGCGCACTGCGAGCAGGCCGGCAGCGCCTCGCCCAGCGCCTTTAAGCGGAGCTCCGCCTGCTTGCCGCGCCACGCCGGGCGGGGCCTGCTCCTGGCGCGGAGGCTAGCCGGCCCAGCCGGAATCCCGGGCGGCCGCGGGAGCGGCGTGGCCCTGCGCTGCAGGGTGGCGGGCAGGAGGGGAGTCGGCGCGGCGCGGCGCGGCGCGGCGCGTTGCATTGCGGGCGCCGTTGGTGTCGCCATGGGAGCGGAGCAGAGCGCGGAGGCCGAGAGCCGCCCGGGCGAGACCAGCGCCTCAGGTCGGTGGCGGCGGCTGCCCGCCCCCAGCTGCGCCGCGGGGCCGGGGCTGTAGGGAAGCTGCGGGGCCGAGTACGTGCGAGAGGGGCTCGGCGGTGCTGTAGGGGCGGAGGAGGCTGTGGGGTGGGGTTTGGGTGCTGGTGTCGCTGCGGGACGAGGCGCGGGCGTCGTGACCTCTGGTGGTACTGACTGATAGACGCTGCTGGGGAAGGAGGCGCGGCAGGCGTGGCAGATGCGAATGGGAGCCACGCTGGGTGCCTCGCACTGGTGGGTGCCTCGCTGCCAGCGTCCGGTGGGTGTGAGGATGCTGACTTCGGTGGGGAGAAGTGGGAGGGATCATAGAATCGTAGAGGCTTGGGTTGGAAGTGGCCTTAAAGATTGTAAAGTTCCACCCCTCCTAATATTGGCATGGTTGACAGCCGCTAGATCGGGTTGCCCAGAGCCCTGTCTAGCCTGGCCTTGAATGCCTCGAAGGATGGGGCATCCACAACTTCTGTGGGCAGCCAGTGCCTCACTGCCCTCTGAGTTAGAAAAAAGTAATATCACAGAATGGCCTGGGTTGGAAGGGTCCTCAAGGATCGTGAATCTCCAACCCCCCTGCTACATGCAGGGCCACCAGCCTCCCCATTTAATACTAGACCAGGCTGCCCGGGGCCCATCAGAACACCTGAATGTGGATGATAAGGCATGTATGATGCTACAGTAAGAGCCCCAAATGTATATGAATTTAAATTATTGAGCTAAATCTTTCCTGTAAAGGTATCTAAAACTATGAGAGCATTACTGCTGCAGCATAATGCTGGCAAATAAAGCGTTCTTGCCTTCTGCCTTCATTGCAAACGTGTAAGATTATCCCTAGAGTGAGAAGGCAGCACATCCTTAATCAGCACGTTTCCATCCATGTTGTCTCCTTTTGGAAAACTTTGTTGAATGGAGTACATACGTTACCAGAGAGAGGATGAGAAGGGAGGGTACAGCTTGTGGTTTCAGAGATGTATTTATGTTATAGAAAACATACTTGCGCAGCATTAAATGTGATAACGTTCGCATAGGGTTAAATTCTGATGGAATCTGTTTATTAACTTGATTGTTCCTTATCCTCTCTCCCTTTGTTCTTCCAGCATCTCCATCCCCAGCTAAACATCGAGCAAAAATGGATGACATTGTGGTGGTAGCCCCAGGAACACAGTCTTCACGGAACGTGAGCAATGATCCAGATGTCATAAAACTGCAGGAAATTCCAACGTTCCAGCCCCTTTTAAAAGGTAAGTGATTGTTTCTTCCCTGTTTTTAAAGGCCCTTTTTTTTTTTTTTTTTGGTGCTAAATAGGGTGTGTGTGTTGTGTATCTTAAGGTTCCTGCTGAAGTTTGTTTCCATCCATGTTTTTTGCTCCCTTGCCTTTGTTTTAAACTGTACTTTTTTTGTCTTTCGTAATTATTTCCAGCCTTCTACACAATGTATGAACTAGAGATGTGCTAGTAATGATCTCTGTAGTAGAACCATCTATTGTGCAGACAAAACGGCTCCAGGTTTCCCAGATGGCCAGTACCACTTGGTTGAAAGGATGTTCAATAAGGATGCTATGTAATGTGCTAATACACTGCAGACTACAGTCTCTAGTTTTGCTCTAGGTTCTTATAAACACTTGGGTGTTACTCAGACTCAGTCTCAGACTAAAGCTACATGCGCTTGGATTCAGTTACTTGAAATCAGAACTTATTCTTGAGGTTTCCAGTCTAGAGCAGATTTTGTCCTTGTTTAGGAATGGGGAAAACTGTCCATGCGCTTTAAGGCCTAGCCCTGGTTATCTCTCTTTTTCTCTGGAGGCTGTGCAGAGCATCTTTTCTGTTACCTGAAAGTCCTTTGGGAAGAAAAATGTATGGAGCAGCATGCATGAATTGAGCTGGTAGCAGCAGCAAGGTCCTGGCCTCTTTCTCTTCCTGTAACAACATGGTTCAGCAAATGTAGCGAACACTTAGTGAGCCAGTGGTTTTGAAAGTTTGAGTTTTAGTGTATATATGTGCATTGGCTTGATTTCTTGTGTGTGCCTTGTAGACCTGTTGTGACAGTGGGGAGATAGTGTGCTGCTAGTCCTTGCTGCTAAAAGGAAGTGGTTTTGTACAACTGAAGGTTTAGGCACTGCTTGCCACTGATCTGCGTGTAGCTGGTGGGAAGGTGTGGTAGCTGCTTTGCCCTGCTGCCATTGCTGGAGACAGTGTAACATTGCTATTCAGACAAACTCTTCACTTTATTTTGACATGGCACATGAGTAGGACTTGTGGACACGATGGTAGCCCAGTGGGCCAAATGTCTGGCATTTTATTGGGTAGTACCGGAGAACAATCTTGGGTCTGTGTGACACTGGCAGTACTCTTTCCAGCAAAAGATGAAAGAGGGGATGCTACTGAATACCAGAAAAGCAGCCACTGATGTTTTTAGGGCTAGTACTACTGTCCCTCTTGACTAAGGAGAGTGTGTATTGCCTATACCTTTTGTGTGTGTGTGTTTGTTTGTTTTAAACTTTATAGACAGTGATGTTGTAGGAATCTGTGTTTTGGTATATTCCCATTCCCTTTTACTGCCATTTTAGAACTGGCTGTGAGATTGCTGAAGTTGGTACTGCAGACTTTCAGCAGAATGTGCTTTGCTTTTGTCCTGTCTTGCACTAAAGGCAAAATCAAGATCTCCTCAGTGACAGCTTGCAATATAAATGCTGAAACACAAATTCACAAAGGGGGAATAAGGAAGGTTTAAGAGGTCGAATTTATAAGATTGTATATCTGTGAACATGTGAGCCTCAAATGGTGTTTGCACAAGAACTGCAAGGGTCCTGAGAAGCAAATCTGCAGCCACTTCCAAGGTCTTCTTGTGTAGGTGCTGAGAAGTAAGATGGCTTGGGATGGGAAGTGAGAAAGGAGAGGTAGCAGCAGCCATCTGGCTGGGAGAGACAAAGTGGAAGGTCACCAGTCCAGATAATAAATATATATGCATAAATATGCATACATCAAGTTATTTAATGGCTTGTTGTCTTTGTTGCTAAGTTGCTTTTGCTTTTGCTGCTTTGTTTTGGACCTGAAACTGTATATAAAGGAAAGCTTCTGTTCCTTTTCTATCATTTGATCTGCTGAGTCCCTTAAGATGTGGGGACATCTGGTGACTACTTATGACCATTGCATGCTTAATTGTGTTAACTAACGTGAAGAGATTTTGCATCCTCAAATACACTATTGCTTGAAAAACAGGACTGTGATCTGAGCTGAGTCTTTAGAGATCCCCGGTATGCCACGGGCTTGATGGAGAACCTGTTATGTTTTGGATGGGATCTTCTCTGTTCTTCACATGCAAGACCACGTTCCTGGGATGGATAAAGAGGGATACTAGAATTCTCTTAGGATTTGATCCTAAAGCTTGCATCTCATGAGCTATCAACTTGGAGAGCTTAAAGCATGAACTGATAGCTCTTTTGGGATTGGTTATAATTTTCAGTTTGCCTTTGGCTAAGCAAAGCTAAGGGATTTTCTTCTCAGGTCTCAAAAGATGCCTAATGGTTAAGTTAATCAATCGGGAAAGCACGTTATCAACAAGAAACTGCATTTTTGCAGGAGACAAAACACTGAAAAGCCAAAGCACATTCTCTCCTAGCCATTTTGAATTGATCTTGTTGTGACCAGTGAAACTGAAGGTCTTCTACAACTGTGTACCCAAATGTACAGTAAAATGACAACATCATGTCCATTGCATCTTTTATATTGGATTTACTTTGATTTCTTTGAAAAAATCCACAAACTGGAGTTTTATCAGCTATGATGCCATGGGATTCTTCTTATTTATATTTGTCTGCTCCAAACTTCAGTGATAATTATGGAGCATGTGTAATAAGCAGCGTTTGAGAGGTTAGAGTTTGAGCATTTGTTGATTCTGGTGTGAGAACCTGTCAGTTATTCAGTAAGCTAGGTATTACTTTATTGAATTGGTAGTATAGCTCTTAGAATGGTGGGTGAGTCAAAGACTGGAGTGTAATTTTTCTTTTATATGCTGGGGAGTATCTTCATATCTTCTTCAGTGCTATATCCATGTAGACAGAAAGGGGTGAGTGCTACCAGATGTGGTTAGGAAAGCATTCCAGTGGATGCCTGTTGTATTGCTGTTCATAAAAGTCAAATACCAATCCTACTCAAACAGAGGAAAACATTTGCTTAGAAAGTACACCTGGGAGTTAGATGCCTAACTGTTTTTCCATATTAAGTGCTGTATATTTGGGATACAGAAGGGTTGAGTGTGTAGACTTCTAGTAGAAATACTAGCAGAGAACTTCACTATTTGAGAGTTTGTTTGTTTATTTTTGAGTGGTGAGGAAAATATAGAATCTAAATTCTTGAGAGCAACAGAGAGACACCACTGAGAGTTCTCTCCTTTGAGTCGTTCATTCCCTGTAGGAACTACTTTGTTATACAGAATGAAATATGATAGCTGTTTCTTTCCTTTATGCTGCTTCCTGGAGGTATGTATACATAAATGAAGCTGCTTCTGTTTAGTGTCCCTGATTCTTGCAGCCTGTTTATAGCACAAAGTCATAGCCAGCTGAGTGTAAAAGTCCTCATCTGTGAATTCCAGAGAAGTCGATATTTTGCACATGGAATACTCAGTGATTTTTTTTTTTAACCTATGCAAATTTTCTTGGTGTAATAAGTTGAGTGCATTAATGATTTATCGTTGTAAACTTCCCCAAGCTCTGGAGAAGGGTGTTTAGTTTTTTTGTGTGTTGTAGAAGCAAAACTCTTACTGCATCATCGTCTCTCTCAAAGTTCAGGAAAGACTGAGATCTGTCTTTCTGATAGCAGTGTGGTGTTATGTTAAACAAAAAAGACAGAGACATATAAAGGATGTGTTGATGCATGTTAGCAACATAAGAGTAAATGTTCAAGAGCTAGTCATCCAAATACAAATGTAATTCCTATCTTGTGCAATGGTCAGCAAGACCTTTATGCAAACAGGAGGTGGTGGATGAGACTGGAGTTTGTTGTCTGAGGACTCAGTGCAGCTGTCCTGTAAGTGACATACTCTAGACATCCTAGCACAAAGTAAATCTAATGAGTTTGGTGGGGTTTTTGTTGTTGTTGTTGGGTGGTTTTGTTTGTTTGTTTTGTAAAGAAAACAACATAATTGATGCCCACTTGTGGCATTCCTCTTTCAGGAAAAATAATTCAGCTTTCATTGGCATTGGGTCAACTGAAAGGCGTAAGGCTCCCAGGTTTGTAGTAGAAGAAAAGTTATGTTTCTTCATAGCTAGTTGACAAGAATTGTCACAGAGATGTTCTAAATTACGGTGGTTAGGTTGTTGATATACTTTGGAAACTTGAGGTACAAGAGAATGTCTTTAAAGGCTTGTCTGTATGATGGATCTTGAAATAAATTAAGTCTGTATTTGTTCTTTGTAGGGAAACTTACTTGAAAAGAAATTTGTTCTTACTTATGGGTAGCATCCTGTGCTGGTAAAGGGTCTTCAATGTATGAAGAAGTAAGCAGAGAGGTTAGTTTCTCACTACAGAGATGTGGTACAAGCATCAGAATCTTTCCTATATTGCTGTGTCCCTACCTTGTCCTCTAGGATCTCATGATTAGCTAGCTCTCCAGTCAAATGTAATGATTCTTCTGATTACCTTGGTTGTACTGTGAGCATTTGTGACTTACTGCCTCTGACAAAAGCTGCCACAAAGGCATTGATTTTCTGCTTCTGCTTGCATAGCTCAGTTGTTAATTTTGAGTCACACATGTATTTTGTCACTTCCAATGACAAAATGCCAGCAGAACAGCTAATGGTACTGGGATTGTGTCTAATAAGTTGTTTGTAGAATTGTTAGTTTTTAAAGGGAATGTCAGAGCAAAAGTGTCTGTACTTTATTGAGAGAGATTTCTGAAAAATCTGAAAACAAAACTTCTGGCAACCAGTTGCCTGTGTGATACTGGCAGTTCTTTTGCATTGCCATTTTTCTTGCTCTTCTCCTCCTCATTCAAAGGAAGCTGTTGCCAATGTGTCCTGGTAGCTTCATTTAGAAGCATAAGTGATACTGAGTAATTCTGAATGCCATACATACAGTTAATTTGCTGAATAATTCTTGCAGGTATTTGAAGATAGTTTAGTGGCCCTGTCTTGTATTCTGTATTGCCTATTGAGGGAATCGTAACTAAAAAGCATGAAACCTAGCATAATGATCCAATATAGGTATTGAAGCTATTCCTCATCCCTGCTTATCCTTTAGTGTTT